ATATATAGGAGGTGTGAGAGGGCTTCAGAGGCAAGCTAGCAGCTCCTCTGGAAGGGGAAAGGGGGATGAAGAAGGTCGGGGAGGATAAGGTGGTCGAAATTTGAAAGGACGTGGAGGGCTCTGGAACGCTTAGCGCGATGGTTTGTCGGGGCCTATACGTGGAGACATCTCTCCATGTCCTAAGCTCGCCCCAGACAGCGCCATTTTTGGTGCTGCAGGTTGTTTTTTTCGGTATCATTCGTAAAACTAATTAACGTTCATGGACCAGAGGAAATGCCGACATGTTCCCAATTGGACATGTTTTGATCTGTATTGATGTTTGCGTCATGCACGTCAACATACACATCAGGAACATTTGACTTCTAGCGTACAGTTCTTTTCCTTTTCGAACGATTAATCAGTTCTGAACCACACAAAATTACCCCGAGACCAAGGAGCTGTTTTCACAAGGACACTTTTCACACGGTACTCTAGAGCACTCCAGAACGTCCATGGACACGTATATATACCTAGCCTTACATGATTTCTTGCTCCCCAAGGTTGAAACTCTGGCCTCCAAAGTCTACCTAAACACAAATAAGGGCTCCTTTGATTCAAAGGATATCTTTAGGATTTTTGAGGATTGAAATCCTTAGGATTTTTTCTATGTCGGCCTTTTGATTCATAGGATTGGATCATATAGGAATTTATCCTATGGAATTTTTTGTACTACATTTTATAGAAAATCTAACATCCACTCCAACCTTTTTTTACATTTTCTTTGTTTTTCATGTGGCATCAAACACTCTTTGCTAATCCTATAGGATTCAAGTTGACATGCCACTGCAATCCTATACTTTTCATATTCCTACATTTTCAAAATCTTGTGAATCAAAGAGGCCTTAAAACAAAAATCTACGTGCTGAGACGCTTAGGCTTTCCTTAGTTCATAGGATAAAAATATCACGGGGAATGAGAAACTTGTAGAAAATAAGATGAAATGTATCTCAAATCCTCTGAATAGGAATAAGAAATGAGATGGCATTTGGTTCACGGGGTTGGATTTTTTTCCCATTGAGTCTAGGCTGACGTTTATTCTTCTTTGAATTTTGGAGGATGGGAGACAATCCTACATAGGAATAGGAAGTTAGGAGCCCATTCCTATAAACCAAAGGGCTCCAAAAAAAAATTTCCTGTGAGAATCCTAGCCTATGAAAATCCTGTGAAATTCCTCCAAACCAAAGGAGGCCTTAGTTGCTATCCGGTGGGAAGAGATAGGAGGAGGGGGAGTCGTGAAAAATGTGCGGAAGGGGTTCGGCGCCAAGGAGAGAGGGAGGTCATCAAGGAGTCGATGTCCACCGATACAAGCAAGTCGGCGACCAGACTAATAATATGGCGCCGTGGGCATTGGCATCCTGACTTGATGGTGGCGACATCCACTCTTTCAGATGAGGATAGCAGTAGCTAGCATCAATGAATGCAAGTGGGACATGGAGAGGCAAGGTGGTTGTCCTCGGAAGGGGATGGGGGGGTGAAGAGTGGGGTCAGAGAGGAGACATTGAGTATGGGAATGGGGTGACGATGAAGCAAATGTTGGTTGAACATGCAGCTATGTTACACCCCTAGGCTCTAACTCTGTCTAGTGAGAAAATAAGCACATAGTGTTTGGTTATGTGCATTACTCGATGTCTTACCCAAGGATTTCCCCCTTTTGGTTCCTACCTGTGACTAGCATCAACATCATGTTGTTGCAGAGGTTGGGTCTTTTTTTTAGCTGTGGGCTCCTATGGTTCCTATGATTGGAATATCTTAGGAATAGAAAAATCATAGAAAGTGACGTGGCTTGTATCTCAATTCATATAGAGAAAATGATGTCATTTGATGCATAGGATAGAGGTTTTCCCATTGGTCTAGGCTTTTCTTTCTTTAAAATGTGAAGGGCTAAGAGCAACTCCAATGGGGCGACTCATTTCGTCTGCGTCTGTCCGTTTGGGTCGGCGCGGATAGAAAAGGCGGGCCAACGCACCGACCCAAAAGGATTCGCGTCCTTTTTCGTCCGCGGGCGATCCATTCCCGGCCCATTTTTGAGCCTGATTTGCGTCGGCGCGGACACGCGACGAACGCGCACGCTCACCTACTCCTGTCCCCGGGCCCGCTGGTCTGTGGCACATTGGCCTCCCCTCTCACTCTCCTCCCGGCCAACAAGCAACCCTCGCCCCGCCTCCTCCGTCACCGACGCCGCCGCCCATTTTTGTCGGCGACTCTTCCAGCTGCCGCCACCTCCACATCCGCCCAGCAACGCCGCCCCTGCCCCCAGTCACCCGCCGCCGCATTTTGCCGCCGGGGAGCAAACTGGTTCCCGCCGCCGCTTCGCCCACCGCACAGCCGCCCGCGACCAAGAAGACGCCTCACCGCCCCGCCAGATCCGATCGGCATGCTCGCGGACGCCATCACACTCATCGGACGCCGGCAGGGCAGCTAGCTGGTCTATGGGCGCTGCTCTCCCCTCGCCGGCCGTCTCCTTCTTCGACGCCCGCAAGCTGTTCGGCAGTTTGCCAAGGTACGAAAATGGACTCCGCCGACGAGTTCTTTTTCCACAATTTCCTTTGCGACTCCGACGATTCGTTGTCCGACGACGAGGAGGAGATATTGGCTGCCGTGTTGGTCCATCACCACCTCAACAACCAGCGGCCGTTGTTCCGTGGCTCCATTCCAGGCCACCTTCTGGCGTTGAATCGTAATCGAGAGAGCGGGCATTTTCTTCTCTGGAAGGACTACTTTGATACAACAAACCCGTTGTTCAAACATCACAAATTCCGCCGCCGGTTCCATATGAGTAGGCATGTTTTCAACTATATTAGAGAGAGAGTGGTCGGCTATGATGACTACTTCGAGTGCAAAGAGGATGTCATCGGCAAGATTGGTTTCTCCTCTTATCAGAAATGCACTGCCGCCATCCGAATGCTTGCATACGGAGTGCCCGGTGATCTCATTGACGAGTACGTCCGTATGAGCGAGTCTACATGCCTAGAGTCCCTATATAAGTTCTGCAAGGCTGTGATTGTTGTGTTTGGCCCTGAGTACTTGAGAGAGCCGACAGCTGAAGATACAGCCCGTTTGTTGGCGATGAATGCCAGTAGAGGCTTCCCGGGGATGCTTGGCAGCATAGACTGCATGCACTGGGAGTGGAAGAACTGCCCTTCTGCTTGGCAAGGGCAGTATAAGGGACATGTCAGGGCTTGCACTGTCATACTAGAGGCAGTGGCGTCTCAAGATCTCTGGATCTGGCACTCTTTCTTTGGCATGGTTGGATCACACAATGGTATCAACGTGCTTCAGCGCTCGCCAGTGTTTGCTAGGCTTACCGAAGGGAACAGCCCATCGGTGAACTTTACTGTCAACGGCTACAACGACGACAAAGGGTACTATTTGGGTGATGGTATCTATTCTTAGTGGATGACTATTGTCAAGACAATACCCAACCCTGTCGGAGAGAAAAGGAAAAGATATGCCCAAGAGCAAGAGAGTGCTAGAAAGGATGTCGAGCGTGCCTTTGGTGTTTTGCAATCTCGATGGGGCATCGTTCGGTATCCTGCTAATACTTGAAGCACGCAGAAACTATGGGAGGTGATGACTGCTTGTGTGATCATGCACAATATGATCGTAGAAGACGAGCGCCTGGAACGTCTGTACGATCAAGGCTTTCAGTTTCAGGGTGAGAATGTTGTGCCTGAGTATGGAGTAGCGGCAATATTTGAGCAGTTCACTCAGTTTCATAAAGACATGCGTGATTGGGAAACTCACATGCAACTGCAAAATAATTTGGTTGAGCATATGTGGACTCATGTTGGCAACCAATAGATGTATCTTCTTTTATTCGTTTGCAAAACTATGTGAAACATTTTTATTTGTATTTGGCTTGTAAAACTATACTATTTATTTGGGCGGCTAAACTATTTTGCTTGTTATTTCATTTTATAATATGTTTGAATGCAAATCAATGTAAAATTAGGCGGCCAGCCAGCCACGTCTGCACATATGGGTCGACGCTGCCGACCCATATGAAAAACAAGGCGGACGCCGGACGGGCGGCCGATCCAAACGGACAAAAAGCGGACAAAATCGCCGTCCGTTTGGGTCGGCCCGTTGGAGTTGCTCTAATTCCTTCCTTTTTGCATTGTTTGGATTGCTTAGGAATAGAAATTCATTTATACGAATCAAAGGACTTCAAAAGAATTTTTTTCTTCTAAAAATCCTATCCTGTAGAATTCCAACAAACCAAAACCAATGAGGCCTATTTTCCCTTCTTTTTTTTGAAGTGGCATCTAGCCTTGACCAGGAGTATCTTACAAGTGTTCCCTCGGGGTCACTGTTGCCATCCTTGTGCTACTTCGGCAGAGTTCAGTTTTTTTTTTTTTTTTTTGAAAAGGAGAAAAACCTCCGGCCTCTGCACCGAAAGATGCATACGGCCATATTATCGGCGGGGGTCCGAAACCACGGCTCGCACGCTTGCGTACGCCAGTGTTCTGGAGCCACGGCTCGCTGTCCCGCTGCAACGAGTGAAACTCTGCCACGCCTGCGTACGTACGCCGTGTGAAAAGTTTCAATCTGCTGCTGGGAGGGGGCGCAACTCAACACGGAATGTTATCCGTGCAAGGTGTGATGTCCGGTGCCGAGCTCCCGACTATCATTCAGGGACAGACTTCCATCAACAACCGACAGATAGGATAAATCAGCACTTGCGTGCTGCAGCTTTGTTGGTCCTAGACATTACAGACTCGATTCAGATAAGAGTCACATGCAAGAAGCAAAAAACGAGTGATGTATATTAACGGGTAACCAGGTAACCGCATCAATAATCTTCACGAAGCACTCTGAACATAACTTCACTAAACCACTCACTCTTAGCTTGAAGTTTGGAGAACTCTTGAGATAAAACCCTAGTACAAACAGATGGCACAATATAGATGTAACTGTCAAAATTTAATGGTAAAAAAGTTTTGGATTCTGCTATGACTTGCTCACGCACCGGTGAACGCCTTCTTCACCGCACCACTCTTTGACCCTGCTGGGACCACCTTCAACACATTGAACCGCACCGTCTTGGACAGCGGCCTACATGGCATAATTGATTTAACTCAATTACTGGGTATCATAAACACGACAATCTAAGCTACTCCCTCCGTTCGGAATTACTTGTCGCAGAAATGGATGTATCTAGACGTATTTTAGTTCTAGATACATCCATTTTCGAGACAAGTAATTCCAAACGGAGGGAGTACATGTTTCAACCTTCACTCAGTCAGTGTGATGATGAGGTCATGACATGCCCCATTTAACCAAAAACATGTCCAATTTCACAGTTATCTGCTCCCTCTGTTCATAAATATAAGATGTTCTAACTTTTTCTGAATTGGATGTGTATAGACATGTTTTAGTGTGTTTGTTCACTCATTTCAGTTCGTACATAGTCCATACTGAAATATCCAAAACATTATACATTTGTGAATGGAGGGAGTAGCTAGCTAAGCTAATGTCTGTTAATGGTGTAAATGTGCATGTGTATTACACAAGTACATAACTTTTACCTGCACTGGCCAATGATCACGTGATCTCCTTCTCTCACACGGAAGCAAGGGGAAATGTGGGCAGGGATGTTGGAGTGCCTCTTCTCATACCTATTCACGAATATCACTATATTGCTTATGTTTCAACAACCCAAACAATTTAAACCCAATGAAGAAGATTGATTAGCTTGCCTCTGGTATTTTTTGACATAGTGAAGGTAGTTCCTACGAACAATGATGGTCCTGTTCATTTTAGCACTATGACATGTTCCAGCAATGATGCGACCTCTAACTGACACAGTGCCAGTGAATGGGCACTTCTTATCAATGTAGGTTCCTGCAACACAAGCCAGATTAAATACACACATAGCTTGTGCAATGTATGGCTGAACTGGACAAACAATAATGACTAAGCACACTGACAAACCAAATGATATCAAAATTCAAACAAATTTTGTGACAAAGTTTATCATGAAGAAACTAATCGAACAAGATCCGCTTGATTAACCTGGCAGTCGAAACAAAATTGAGCAAAGGTAGACTTGGCCAGCAGAAGTAAATGATAAATGTAGAAGTAAAACAAAAGTACTATTCTTGGTCAACATCGTAATTTAAAGAACAAATTATATTCATATGAAATCACGTAGATAAAGAAGAAGCAAAGGTCAAAGACAACTTCACGTATTAACAAGCACTGCCCTTTCTTTCTATTAGCATAAAAGAGAAGACCATAAAAACAAACAAACACTCTACAGTTTAAATGATGTCAGATGACACATCGCTAAAACAACTCAACAGTTCAAAGCCTTTCAGTTTGAAAAGAAAAGATTGTAGAACATAAGGCATAACACATCAGACAACAAAGGAGGAATTCAATATGAACTCCCTTATCAGGAAGGGAATCCTTAGCAGCAATAATGTGGGACCAGTGTAGACTGCAACTATTGGCTCTATACCATATTAAATTTGTGTGCCATACCAACAAAATGTATGTTTGACACAATATTTTCAAATACATTAGAACACTGCCAAAAAAAACAAACTGATGAAAAATATTTATAACACGAGCACAGTAGACTGCGGAATCTAGATGATATTTTAGAACAAGTATAAATGCTCACTGCACATCAACATCGCAAGTCATAACAGATAAACAACACTTAACTTGCCCAAGTTGCAGGCTATACTGATCTTTATGGTGTAGATAAAGTAAAAAAAGTATATCTAGCTAAACAGCATACAAACATAAGAAGAAGAAAATACTGAATAACGGTCACATGCTTCAGCAAGTCCATGAGTACAAGGCAATTAATAACATCCGATACTACAAAATGCACAAAGCAGCACACCATCTATGCTATCACATTACAATTGGGAAAAGGAATGACAGAACATACCCTCAATGGCTTCCTTGGGAGTCTTGAAACCAAGGCCAACACTCTTCCAGAACCTGCTGCCCTCCTTGCCAGGCTTATTATTCCCCTTTGTGGTCTTCTTTGAGCTATAATTGCACATCAAGTCATGATCACCAATTCAGGACACACGTTTTACCATCTTATACTTATATAATGAAAAAACAACAGTTCCTCGTACCAGAGGAACACCTTAGGCTGCTTCAGGAAAGCCTTCTCAGTCTGCAAAAACCAGCAAAACTGTTTAGGACATGTTGTTTGATTAAAGCCTGAGAATACCTAAACATCCTAACCATTTTGTCTAATATGGCTACCTTCTGACCAAGAAATATAGAACCAGTAGCGTGGCAAGCTTATCCAAGAACTTTAGCTTATTGACACATGGGCAATGGGGATTAGAGGGTGACAGAGAACAGAACAATAGCCTAACTTTCACAAGTTAATAGTATAAAAAATCCATCTACGGCAGAAACTGAAGAGTCCGCCTACAGAACATTGGAATTAGCAAATGCAAGGATGCAGTGATCAAACGTATATATGCCACTACGCCTACTATTTTGGAATGTCCAGTCTCAGTCACTTGGCGATAGGCGAAGCGAATGGACAATCCCAAATAGTAATAGTTTGTGCCATAATCAACGCTGGACTTCAATATTGCTCTACTTAACACCGAAAGTACCTACCGTGCTAGATCCAAATCTACTACGTATCAGACTAATCAATGGAAATTAGTTAAAATTTTCGTCAAAAAATAAAGTAATTTGACTCAAACGAATGTCCCAGAGAACTCGAATTAGGCAAACAAGAGAAAGTGAAGACGAAATTAAGTTGTAGGATCGACATAGCTGACCTGTTCTGCCATGGCTGATGCTCGAAGGCGATGGGGCCGACGGCGGCACGCGCTAGGCGGCGAGAGACGAGAGAAGGCGTAGCCAAGACAGAAACCCTACTCGTCTCGCTCGTTTATGGCAAATCAGATGGGCTCTTGTGGGCCTGGGTCTCAAGCTGGTTTCCCCAGTTGGGCTACTATTTTTTAGATGGTTGGCAATTTGCATTATCTCTTTCTCGTTGCCGGCATGTTCGCCTTCCAAACACGAAATCACTAGTGGAGGAGTACTTGTTGTAAAAATTACTCCAACTCCCTTGGTTGCGACAAGTGGCGTACATACAACGCGTCACTTGTCGCAACCTATGAGTTTTCTCTTCTTTTTTAGATATGTTTATTCAAAACGTTTTATCTCTTAAACTGTGCGTCCCAATCTCGAACCGCGGCTAATCAAATTTATTCTTCATGATAGTTAGTCTTGAGAAGAGAGCCCCTCCCCCTCCACAGTGACCCGCGCCGCGTGCCACTCCGGCTGCGGCGGCCACCCCCGCCACCGCCTGCCTCTACGTAGGCGGCTCCCCACGACCTCATGGGCCGTCGCCGCTCCCGCTCCTCGCGGTCCCGCGGATCCGGCTATTCTTCAAGGTGCCTCTCATGCGACAGCACGGGATGGGGGACATCGGCCTCGGTGCCAGATCCAGCTAGGGTCTTTCCCTGCCATGCGGCTACGCCGGATCCCTCGCCTCCGCCGCGAATCCTGCTCCGGGGGGAGTGCTCCCGCGGACTGGCGTCCTTTTGCCCAGCAGATCCACCCGTGCTCCCACTCTTCGAGAAGCAGAGGCTCAAATCCATCGTGGTTTGTCCGTCCCCCCCCCACCCCCCGCTCCTCTTTCCTCTTCTGGAATGGACGGTGGGTGGACTGAGGTGCGCTCAAAGAAGCAGGCTAGGATCCAGCGCCGCCTCTCTGGCCCGTCGGGCAATAGTGTGTGCCGGCGTCACTCTGCTGCTGGCACCTCGGCTCCCAACCCCGGCCGCGAGGCCTTCTTAAAGCGTTTCCATGGTCTTTGTTTTCGCTATCTCAGCTCGCTCCACCGCCGGAAAGACTGTAGAGACCCTCTCCGTTGCGTCATCTACAAGCATATCCTGGACACTTTGGAAAGGAATGCCCACAAAATCCTAGAAACGGCGGCCCCGACAGATCAGATAAGAATGGGCTAGGCCCTCTCCAAGCTTCGGTGCCAGTCCGGGACCGGCTTCGCTTCCCCACCCCCCTCCCCCACCGCAGTTGCTCC